TAACCTTGGATTCTTGTACTGAACAGGGGTTTGCATCCTACTATATTATTGAATAATTTAAATATTTTTCAATATTCAATTACACATTGTATTTTTCTTAAAGAGCATGGTGTTATTAACATACATACGCATCTATTATAATTTGTATCCTAGAAAATATTTGAAATCTTTTAAAATAAAATTGGTGTCTGAAAAACCTATACTCTGTTTCATTTATTTCCAGTTTCAGGGACTTTGGGAAATTAAAGGTTTGCAAGAATTCAGACAATCGTCTCAGCTGTGTTTTTCATGTTACTTTATTCTTTGATCTCTGAGTAGTTTTTCACTTGCTGCAAAAGGCAGAGAAACTGAGAAGCAAGAACAGTTAAAGGCAGTCTAAAGGTGCTACAAATATCTTTGGCAAGCTCCCAAAATGCATCAGATGCCTCAAGATGCTTTCTAATCTGCAACAATTGAAAGTGCTTTGGCAACATTGCATGCTGTTTATTTATTAGATGCATTTACTGTAAGCCCAGCTCTTGAGCCTGAAATGATCCCTGAGAAGTTTGCAGAATAAACAATAAAAGCAAAATGGCCTATATCTCTGTTATAGACCTGTTGTAGAATTCTTTGTGAGAGGGCAGATAAAAATCAGTTTAAGAATGGGTGGGTTTTTTGTTTTGTATCTTTTCTGCTTGTTTGTTTAAAGTAGATTAATTAGATTTAAATTAGATTTTTAACGTTTTTAATGTTTTGTGTAAAAAAAAAAAAAGATCACAGATGTAGAATGAGTATAACTTCTAATTTTATTTTACCTGCTAACATAAAGATGAGAGATAAAGTAACAGACCTGGTCACATAATTCTCTAAAAGTGCAAAGACAAAGAAAATCAGAAATTTTGAGGTGATGGAATAGATGTAGGCAAGGAAGAAGAATCTAAATAGAAACACAGGGGAGAGGAATAAATAGTGAAACAAAAATATTCAAAACATGTTCTTGCAAGCTAGAAGCCTTGAGAAATAATTTTCTGGTCTGGAGTGTACCTTTTATTGATTAAAATCTAATTATGGAAGCAAGCTGTAAGAGGAAACCCTTTGGGGAGTATATTAATTAAGTTCCTAAAATCAACCTCTCTCTCTCTCTTTTTCTTTTTAAAGGAAGCTAGCCAGATCAAATGAGTGTATTAGTATAATTTAAAAGCTGGTGGTAGTTCTAGTATATCATGATATAAGTATTCTCCAAACGTCCACCACAATTGAATAAACTGGTAGTTGTCCACATCCTGATGACTTCACAAGAATGTATGTTCTTACTAGGCACTAAAATAATTCCATTTTATGAAGAATATTCATTTGAAACTATTCAAAATAATACATTTACATACTATGTACCTTCTAAATTTGAAAGTGACATCTCTGAGTTCTGAAGACTATATTTAGGGCTAGATTATATCACATGCCATCAGTGTCATTTTTATTAGAAAGGAAGAGTATTTTTGACTAGTGAATAATTAGTGCTTTAGATTATGACTTAAAGCAAATCTGCCATTCCTTGTCTTTAACTGATAACATGGGCAAAGTCAGATCCTGCTGAAAAAGTTATACACTGGATTGTAGTTTAAGCAAGTGCAGTTCCAGATGATCTCATTAGCCAGTAGAATTTGGTGGGATCGGCAAACTATAGTAAGAAATAGGAAACAAAATTAATTCCAAATCAAATATGTTTTAACATTGCTGTTTTATAACTGGGAGTCAGTTTTTGAAGTTATAATTTGTATCACATTTAGAATTGTGCTACGTTAATATTTTAGATTCTGTTATTTATTGAGTCCTGAATGATTGATTTGCAGTGAGTGACTTGACTATTGAAATTTCTCTTTAGACAAAATGATTCTACATATAATCTAGTATTTTATTCTGGTGGTGGATTTTTATTTTATTTTATTTGGCGGGGGGTGCCTTTGAGTCATTGTTGACTCCTGGTGACTGCCTGGGCTAGTCCCTGCAGTTTTATTGGCAAGATTTTGGAAGTGGTTTGCCATTGCCTTCTTCCTTGGGCTGAGAGGGTGTGACTGACCCAAAGTCACCCAGCTGGCGTAGTGTCTAAGGTGGAACTACAATTCATGGTTTCTCAGTTTCTAGTCCAGCAGTTTAACCACTATATCAGATTGGCTCTCATTCCGTAGCTGTGTGTAACATGAAGCCTACCATATGTGTTTCTCTTCCTAATATCTTCCCAAAATAAAATAGGCTCTTCCCCTGAAGTGGTAGTCTAGCACATGTTTCTTAAAGTCATTGATGCAAACTGATATAATTAATTAATATTCTACTATTAGAACAAATAATTAAGACTGCAATTATCTACCACTTACTGAGGAGTAAGCTTCATTTGTTTGACTGGAATATAATTCTGAGTAGTCACATATAGGACTGCATTTCACAGCTTCAGTCCTATACATATTTTGAACAATAAGAAATAATGCATGTTCTGAAAAAAACATGCAGAAACCTGGACAGGTTTGGGAGGAAAGGGGAAATCTATTAAAGGACAGGTGGCAATCCATGAACCATATCCAAGGAAATCAACAGGAAACATCTTGAAACTCTAGACTGTGTAAAGCTACTCAGTGAAAATTTTGACTGGTTTTCTGTTTTTCCCTTTCAGTTGAATGGATTGTTGCAGTCACATTTGCTGCAGGAACAGCAGCTGTTGGGTATCTTGCTTACAAAAAATTTTTTAGCAAGCGCAAAGGCTGTAATGGAATGGTGAATCTCCATATTCAGAAAGATAATCCGAAGGTAGTTCATGCATTTGATATGGAAGATTTGGGAGAGAAAGCAGTATACTGCCGATGTTGGAGGTCTAAAACGGTGAGGGAAGAGAGTGGTCAATCTCTTGTAAATGTTTATTGTGAATGTATTTACTGAATCTCCAAAACAAAATAATGAGTGCTAGTTTATAATTAAGTATCAGGGGAAAAAAGTGAACAGGAAGCTGATACCGAAGAATGATTTTTCCATTGATCCTTGAAATAATGATCAGGCAGTGTTTTATACAGAGAAATCCTGATGATTTCTTAGGCAGAGGTGTGAAGGCCCAGAAAAATTAGGAGGAGGGAAAAACAGAAAAGATTTCTGCAAGAACTCTACAAAGAACTGGCACATCCCATGTTTATAAATCAATGGCTAAGAGTTCCAAAGAATATTTAGTATGTTTCTTATGATCTTAAGAGGGGACTAATTCAACAAGATATTCTTTTTCATGTTTGTTGGATGCCCCAGAGATTGTTTTAAAAGGACTGGCTTTCAACACCTTTATGTTGGGAGGATAGAATGGATCAGGGAATACTTACTCATATGGGCTTGTCCTACTGTTGCCCTATTTTGGTTTGATAGCCATGTGTTTGTTAACCTGGCGTTACAAAGATCAGTGTGGTTTAAAGATGTCAATCTACTTTTGAATTATATAACCAAAACTTGGAACCTATAAATTTATTAAGAATTATAGATATATTGGGCATTGGGACAGTAAAAGAATCACTCTTGGATGGAAAGAAAGTACAGTCCCAGGACTGTAATTCAGATACAAATTCTTTATGAACTGGCAGTCAGTTGACAAAATGGAAAGACTAATAATATTTTGCATGCTCAAGATTTAATGGTTTGTTTAAAAACTAGACTGAATACTCTTATATGCAAAGGTTTTTTTTTTCTTTTTTGCATATTAAAACGATTAGAATAATAATTAAAAGGAAGAAAACATTGTTCTCTATTTTTTCTATGCCTTTGTTTTGCTTTTCTGATAAACGAAACAAACTAAATATGGAACATTTACTAACATTTTCTTTTTAAATGATAGGGAAAGTGAAAGAAATTAGTCTGTATTTGATTGCTGATAGCAATGGTGCTTCATATTCAGAATATGAAATGTATTACTATTTTATGTGGCAAAATGTATTCTCAAAGCTTTGTATTTTTCCTACTTTTTCTGAAAGTTAATGCTTTTTGTCTGTTCAAACTAAAAAGACGTGATAGATTGAATGATTTATGTGACATCTAACCATAGTTACTACTTTTCTGCCTAGAAATATTTATCACCAAGAAAGGAGTTAATCCTCTTCTTATCAAGGCTTACAAATCCAAGTTTTTATACTGGTCTTGGGAGAGATCTACTTTTATTTACAATGAAAAGTGAAGAATTGGTAGGACTTTAATTCTGGTATAGCAACATTGCCAAGGCTAATATCATTTGATGTCCCAGGGCTGCTTGTAGCAATCAGCAGGATCAGCACTATTTTCTTTCACAAATCTATAGTTAATAATAAAAGCTCTCTGTCAGGATTTAGCCCAGACCTCTGGGAAGAAGATACGTCCTTTCCCTCAGTTTGCAACTTTTGGAGGAAAAGACAATGGACAAAAAAGCAGACAGCTTTCTGCAGAAAACAGTTGCCTACAATTGGCTAGACTACACCATTTTCTTTCACCTGCAATTTACTTTGATGCTGACTAACTCTTTATCTTGCTGAAGAAGATGTACATTTAATATATGTTTTCCTTTCAGTTCCCCTTATGTGATGGGTCTCATACAAAACATAATGATGAAACAGGTGACAATGTGGGACCTCTAATCATCAAGAGAAAAGACGTGTGAACAGCAAATGGTTGGGACGCCATCAAAATGATCTTGTCGCAGTGTTTTCTGCTCACCGGTGATTGGTGTGAAAGAAGATCTTAATTTCACTGAATATGTTTAGATGTGGTATACAATACACAGCAGCACATGTAGTTCATGTTGCTTGCTTAAAACACTACAGTGTATATGTTAGAAAAAATACCTGTGACTTGCTGATTTTTTTGTCTTGTTAAATGCACATTCTCATTAAGTGTAAAAATAAAAAGCCTTTAGAATGTACTTGAAACAATGGAGATAATACATTAAATTATTTTCAAATACATTGTGTTCTCCTAAACTGTCCTTGCCAAGAGCCATGAGATTAAACCTATATTTTAGTCAATCTCTAATGAAGAAATATATAGCTTTCCACCCTTTTGAAAAATAGATTTGCAGTACGCAACTCATCAAAAAGACCAAAATGAAGCTATGATTACTAGATTAAAATATATACATTTTAGGTATGTAGAAACACTGCAGATGGAAAGTACCATATTGCATAACATTGGTGGGCACACAGCTTACTGCTTTATGTACTTCTTCTTTTCTTACATATCTGTGGCAGGGTGAAGTGCCTGGTTGGGTTGTTCCAAGGTCATGGAGGTTTTTTTTTAGAGAAGACAGATGACTCAGCACAAGACCAAGAGCATGTAGTCAGAAAAGAGGAAGATGCTAGAATGCACCTGTAAGTGGCACATACATGCTTTAGATATCGTATAAAAGGAGAAAGAAAAAGCAGGAAGAGGGTTATATTTCAGATGCTGTAGGGCATGCTACTGGAGAGGACGTCACCTGGTCAATGTGGAGTGGAATGGAGGAACAACCCTGTCTGCCAAGTCCAAAGATTCCAGCCCTGGGATATGGAAAACGACCAGGAGGAAAAACCTGGAGTGGCTTGTGAGAGTGTGGAAAGATGAGGGAGGACTGGGTTATAGAAATTCAGATGCTAGACAGTAGAACTTTGTGAATTAAAAGCTTAGTAGGAAGACAGCCAGAAGAAAACTCAAGAGACATTCCAGTGCCACTAATTGAGATAAAGAGTGTGAGAAGAAAGCATACTATATGTACTCATGGATAAGCTGAGAATTTTAGGTGCCAAAATGCACCCCCAAAATTGGGTTCAGGTTATCTGTGGATGGGCTTATCCACAAGTATATATGGTAATACTTTTTAACAGGACCCGTATTTCCCATATATACTCATGGATAAGCCCTTCCACAGATAAGCAGACCCTCAAGTTTTTAACCAAGATACCATAAAAAAATGAGGGTCAACTTATCCACAGGTTGTACATTTTTCATGTTATTTTGGTTAAAAATTCAAAGGTCAGCTTATCCATGGATGGGTTTACGTGCAAGTATATACGGTAATAAATTACAAGCAGAAAGTGAGAGAAAGAGACAAAAGGAGGAATATTAAGTAGGTTAGAACTTGATTTGTATGTATTATTCTGTTCTGGACATACATAGAAAAAATACTGGTTTTGCAAATGATGTTTTCACTTGTATACATTAGTAGATCACCCTACTTCATTAGTATAGGTATCAGTGCCCAAAATAAAATCCCTCATTTGTTTAACTACTGGCTCTGTGTTTGTCTGTATTAGCTCCTATCCTGACCTACCCTCTGACAATATTGACTCCTTCAGCAGCAAACCAGTATTCTAAGTCCTGCTACCTCAGCTGGCTAGTAGGAACTAGAATGCCTGGTTTCCTGTACTTCATGGTAGTAATAAACCAATTATACATTTTTTATTGGCCAGTGTATTGTGCTATTTATGAATCTGAAAACTGCATATTTTGTAGATGAGCTCCAAGTTACCTACCCACATTCAAAGCAATTTCCCCTTTAACGTTAAAGTGCCTGTTCTAAGATAATGTTTGATGTAGCACTTCTGTGTAATTTAAAGTAATAGGTTGTATCCAGTTTATACCATGTTTAGAACTCACTGAAACCAGTCATAAAAATTATTTTTTCCCATTGGCACTGATATGTCTCCTAGCTTAATACGTAATTTCAGAATAGTTAATATTTATTTATTAACAGAAAAACTATTTCAAACATAAAATTATTGGATTGAATCCAGATTTAATTCTATATTTGGAATAAAACAGTTTTTCTTCTTGTAAGAATACATAGATTTAATTGGCTAAAAGTTAGGGTTACCCACCTGGGATTTCTTTCATAATTTATTATCTCATTAGCAGTGAATTACGTATGAAATCTTGGAAATTAGATATGTTCATTTTGTTTGTTGATTACAGTATACCAATGTGGTCTATTTTTTTTTCTGTATAGAATAATATAGAATACTGTAGGTAGCATGAATTCTCAGAATCCAGTATTAACACTTGGCAGATAATAGAGATATGTCACTAAAGAAAATCTGGACACTTGTCTGAATCCTAACAATCTTTTGTCTTACATGTTCAAGGAAGTTTGGACTTGTGATTCTCACAATACGGTTGTAGTGGGGAGCAGGTGACCCTTTAAATCACAAGCCAGCCTTATGTGCCCAGAGGGAGTCACCTGACCCCTGAGAGCCAATAAAGGAAAAGGGGGGGGGGTCTGCCAGTTGTGGGTGGGAAAATTTGGGCGGGGTCTTTGGAGAGAGAGTTGGCTGGGTGTCCTAGGTGAAGAGGTTACCTCAGGCAAAGTTGAGTTATTTAGCCATAGTTAAAATTGCGTTAGGTTTTTTTGTGTTTTATCTTTTTAAACTCTGAGTTGTGTGTAGAGGCTTACCTTCTTTTGGTACCTTTAATAAAGTTGATTTTTGTTTAAATTCTGGAATTGGCCAGTTGCCTTCTATCACCTGCCTCAGCTTGGCTGAGATACTGACTCCCAAAGTTTTTGTCTGGTTTCCCTTTCTGTATTTAGCCAAAAAGGGTCTAGTTACTGTTCACCCATAGGTGCTGAAGTACCTCAGAGGAGGGGCTGATTCAACCATGAGGGTGCCTTTTCCCTTATTACAACAGTATTGCGCACCGACACACAATAAGCTTTACAAACTGATATTTCATATGCCATTTGTGATACTAGCAGCCCCTACTGCCGTTTTGAGTTGCAAGTAAAGCTCCTCTGGCACTTAGCTAAATTACATTGTAGAAACCGAGCAGGTAATAATACAGTCTTTTTTGCACAAATGACGAGAGAATGGAAAACCTTAAACTACTCATGGTATATCTTCTTTGGCTTACTCTTTGTAAATCTTACAAATATATAACTTGTGTGATTCTAAAGTGTTACAATCCCTTGCAGACGATGGGGATTTTTATTAGATCACTTAGTTTGGGCAATCTGTTGCTTATATAGTTGAGCCTGGGTGTGGTGAACATACATAATCCAATGGCTTGGGATACACATTATTAAGCCATAAATGGCTTCTTTGGTTTAGCATGCTGTTGAAAAGCTATGGGTTGTGTGATTCATACACATATATACAGTTTGCAGTGTTTCGGAGCTTGGAACATGCTGTTTTGATCTTGAAATACAGTGTTCCAACCTCAGAAAGTGTTATGATGATCTGTGCTTAATGGAAATTTTCTGAGCTCAGAAAATTTCTGGTAAAATCAGAATAGTGACAGAACAATTTCTGTGGGATCAGAATGTTACTTTTCAAACTCTGAACACTTTGAATTGCCAATGACCATCCAATATTGCTTCCTCTTTTTGTACATCATGGTAAAGTAGGGATGAGAATCTATCACCTTCCACTTGCTTTGTATGACAGATCCTACAGTCTTAGTATTGCTCTTTACGCCTGATGGGACATTGAAAGTAAAAGCGACTGGAGAGCATAGATTGGTTATCCATATAACAGAGATATGATTCATTCCAAATAAAAATGTACTTGATTTACATAAAATTGTGTCTTTGGTATATAAACTGCAGCTGGGATCTAGGAGTCCTTCTTCAGCAGAAGACTTGCTGTACATTTCATTTCTTAAAAAGATGCATCTACTTCCTGTCACATGTAAACATAGTCAGGCAATGTGCCACAATAAAACTACAGTAGATTATGAATGTCTTAAAATAGCTATGCACTACAACTGAATCAATGGCTATAAATTAATAGAGATGGGCAGTACTTTGGATTCAATTTGGAAGTTCTTTGAAACAGGTGGTCTGCATTTCATTAAAGCAAACCTCATGGAAGCCTAAACCTAATGCTAGATTCTCCCTACTGCTAATATCAGTATTTTATCTTCCCAACAACAAAAACCAATTGTAACAAGGAATCCAAAAAGTGCCACTAACAGAAAAAAATCATCCTCATTCTAAATCTTACAGATTCCCCCAGACCTCATAAAAGCCTATCCCTAGCTTACCCCTACTGTCAATGCTAAGATTTTCCATCCCAAAACACCAAAATTTCAGAGGTGCCTTTAAGAATACACAATCAGACAGAACCCAATCCTTACATCTAATCTTCACACAGAGGCCTAACCTTAACCCTAGCCTTCCCCTCCTGCCAATATCAAGATTCTTCTTTCCTGAATAACAAAAATCACTGGCCACTATAAAGTAAATCTAGATTTGCCTCTAACCATAAAATCACCCTTTATCTAATCCTATCATTCAATTTTAATCTAAAACCAATGGAAAAGTAACCCTAACCATAACTTCAACCTATTGATGATACCAATATTTTCCCCTCCCTGAATGCCAAAAATGTTTTGCAATCTAATAGTAATACTGAAGTACTTCACACCATAAAAGATCCCCCTAATCTAATCCTGACATTCACTTTTCCCTTAGACCTCATGGGGGCATAACCCCAACAATAGCTTCCCCCATCAATATTTTCCTTTCTCCCCACACCAGAACCAAAAAAATCACTCCCAACTAAAACAGAATTGCCTCTAACTATAAAATCATTCCAGATCTAATCTTAACATTCAATTTTAGCCTAGACCCCATGAAAACCTGATTTTAACCTGAGCTTCATCTACGGCTGATACCAAAATTTTGCCTTTCCCAAACAGCAAAAATAATTTTTTTCAGTTCCAAAAGTGAATCCAGAAGTGCCTCTAACCATATAAAAACATCTGCTAACCCTAAACCCAAAATTCCCCCTGCTTTCTTTATTAATATATTCCCTTCTCTGAACAAAGAAACTCCCAACAGAAATGTGAATCCAAAAGTGGCTCTAAACATAAAAAACCCACCCAAAATCTAGCTCTGACATGAGCTTTTTGCCCAAACCCAGAGAAGCCTTACCCTCACCCTAGCTTCTTCCTTCTGCTGCTGGTATCAAAATTTTTCTTTCCCCAAACACCAAAAATTGCTCGCTAAATAAAGTAAACTCAAAGTTCCACTAAGTATAAGAAAGCTCCTGAATTTAACCCTGGCATTTGATTTTCCCCTAGAACTCATGGAAGCCCAGTCATAACCCTGGCTTTCTCTAATTGCTGATATTATTCCTTCCCTGAATAACAAACATGGCTTGCTAATAAAAAGGAAATAAAGAAGTTCCATTAAAAATAAAAATCCCACTGAACCTTGACCTGGCCTTTGATTTCCCCCTAGAACCAAACTCTGACCCTAGTTACCTCACACTGTGATGGAATGGAATTGTGAAGGCCAAACTCAGGGAGGGAAACATCCTCTTTCGTCTCCTG